GTCTAAGTCAGTGTACACTGGTGTCACTATATACATTATCAATCTAATTAAAAATAAAAACACAAATTACTGAAATAGGTTCTTTATTAATTACATCTGTGCCAGTATCACAATACAAAGTGTCAGTGAAAGATCATACACACATAACACAAACACATAATTGTTAACTACAATTATAAATAACAATGTACTACAAATAATTACATAAACTCATTACACAGAGTCCTGTCACTTTTATAAGGTCATCTCCATCTCCCAAACTGATATTTGTACAGGAAATACACATTGACCAGTAAAACTACTTCCTATGGACTCATTATTTACTAATTTAAAATAATCTCCATTGATGCTGAAGCTTATTATCCATATGCATAATGTAGAAATCTGTAGGTTACTTTCCTTCTTCATGAAAGTCTGTGGTTAAGATAATCTTTCTCATACTAATCTTTCATGTACATTTATGATTACAAGTTGTGCTATTTGTGACTGTACGTTGAAGGGCGTGTCCGTGGCGTGCCATCAAAGTTGGCCATTTTGAATTCTGTGGTCATTTTTGGTGAATTCTTGCCTTCTATCTGAATGAAATTGAAGGATCTACTTTAAAATTGGACAGTGCAATCAAAAAATGTTGCTGACTAAATGCCGTGCAATTTGCAACTGTATGTTGAAGGGAGTGGAGTGCGAGGTCCCGCCCAACGCTGCTTGCAGCTTTAATTAGGGACTGAGCAAGCGACCGCTGGGAGGTCCCTATTGTAATTGGTCCATTTATTATTATTACGCTTAACCCTCTTTCACTGCATTTTTGACCCCCTTCACGTTAATTTTATTTGGCACATTTGTCGGGCCTGGTGCGATATCAGATATTCAATTCAATTCAATTCAATTCAATTCAATTCAATTCAATTTTATTTGTATAGCGCCAATTCATAACAGAAGTTATCTCAGGACACTTTTCAAATAGAGTAGGTCTAGACCGAACTCTTTAAAACATTATTTATAGAGACCCAACAGTACCACCATGAGCAAGCACTTGGCGACAAGGGCAAGGAAAGACTGCCTGTTAAAAGGCAGAAACCTAGGACAGATCCTTTGGCTCTAGGTGGGTGGTCGTCTGCCTCGACCAGTTGGGGTGAAAGAGAGAGAGAGCGAAAGAGAAAGAGAGAGAGAGAGAGAGACAGAGAGAGAGAGAGAGACAGACAGACAGACAGACAGACAGACAGACAGGTGCACAGCAACAACAGTATTGGCAATGGCAATCTAGCAGGACCATGGCAGGAAGCTCCACCAGGATCGATAAGAACCTGCGAGACGAGAAAGCACAAGAACTCCGGGAAAGAAGTGAAGTTAGTAACATGCATTAATGGGACATGAATGAGTGCAGAAAGAGAGAGGAAGAGAAGAGCTCAGTGCCCCATGGGAAATCCCCCGATAGTCTAGGCCTATAGCAGCATAACTAAGGGATGGTTCAGGACTCACCTGATCCAGCCCTAACTATAAGCTTTATCAAAGAGGAATGTCTTAAGCCTACTCTTGAATGTGGAGAGGGTGTCTGCCTCCCGAACCACAACTGGAAGCTGGTTCCACAGGAGAGGAGCTTGGTAACTGAAGGCTCTGGCTCTTCTACTCTCTCTTAAAACGACGTTTTTCCTTGCCATCGTCGCCAAGTGCTTGCTCATAGTGGGAACTATTGGGTCTCTGTAAATAATGCTATAAGGAGTTCGGTCTAGACCTGCTCTATTTGAAAAGTGTCCTGAGATAACTTGTGTTATGAATTGGCACTATACAAATAAAACTGAATTGAATTGAATTGAATTGTGATCCTTGGGTTTTTGGGGAATGGGATGATGGTGGAAGCTTTAAAGCAGGCTGGCACATGCTTCCTGCCCATGGTCCCCAGGCAATTTAGGAGGTTTTGCTTATCTCAGAAGCCTTGTGCTGTCTTGTGTTGGTGTGGGTAGGAACCTCCCCACCATCACCTTTTCAATGGCTGTACCCACCACGTGGACAGAATTAATGACAGTTGTGTGAACTAGGCAATTACTGAATGCTAGGCTGACCAGTGAGTTCCCATTCCCTATTTTATTTTAATCATCTTTCTTCTTTCTTTCAGTTGACATTTGCAAGGCAAGATGGAAGACTTTTTTCACAAACAGGAAGAAATATCTGCCACGTGGATCAGCAGAGGACACTTTAAAGGAGTGGAAATTACACTAAAATAATGTCCTTTCTTTAGCCCCAGTTGCAGCCAAGAAGGTCTGTATGAAATTTGAAACTAAAATTTGAATGAAACTGTCTTTACCAATGTGACAGCAGTACTGTTGAGCAGAACTGAAATTGTACTCCAAAAGTGATGGGATGTCATAAAATAAATTTGTGAGATGCAAATTGACATATGTCAATTGGCATAAATAAATCTGTGAAACAAATTTTAGTTTTTCCTTTGTTTTTATTTAGTTTAAAAAGCAACTTGAACTCGGTCCAAACATCCAGTGTGGAAGAAAGATCTGGTACCCCACAGTCTGTAACTGCTGGATCAGACAAACAGTCCTGAAGTTCCGTCTACAGGAGCTAGTTCCAAAACCACACATGACAGTGATATGACTCATCTATTTCATTAAACAGATGAGTCATATCACTTTGCACTCAGCGTTGTTTCCTATGTTACACAGATAGGATAAGTAAGGAGGGAACAAGCCAAGACAAGCATTTTAAACACCTTTCACAACCTTGAAAAAAGCTCAACTAAACAATTCAATTCAATTTTCAATTCAATTTTATTTGTATAGCGCCAATTCATAACAGAAGTTATCTCAGGACACTTTTCAAATAGAGCAGGTCTAGACCGAACTCTTTAAAACATTAATTACAGAGACCCAACAGTACCACCATGAGCAAACACTTGGCTACAAGGGCAAGGAAAAACTGCCTGTTAAAAGGCAGAAACCTAGGACAGATCCTCCGGCTCTAGGTGGGTGGTCGTCTGTCTCGACCAGTTGGGGTGAGAGAGAGAGAGAGAGAGAGAGAGCGAGAGACAGATAGACAGGTGCACAGCAACAACAGTTTTGGCAATAGCAATGTAGCAGGACCATGGCAGGAGGCTCCACCTGGATCGACAAGAACCTGCGAGACGAGAAAGCACAAGAACTCCGGGGAAGAAGTGAAGTTAGTAACATGCATTAATGGGACATGAATGAGTGCAGAAAGAGAGAGGAAGGGAGGAGCTCAGTGCACCATGGGAAATCCCCCGATAGTCTAGGCCTATAGCAGCATAACTAAGGGATGGTTCAGGACTCACCTGATCCAGCCCTAACTATAAGCTTTATCAAGGAGGAATGTCTTAAGCCTACTCTTGAATGTGGTTAGGGTGTCTGCCTCCCGAACCACAAATGGAAGCTGGTTCCACAGGAGAGGAGCTTGGTAACTGAAGGCTCTGGCTCCTGTTCTACTTTTAGAGACTATAGGAACCACAAGTAGCCCAGCATTCAGAGAACGTTGTGTTCTAGAGGGGTAATAGGGTACTATGAGCTCTTTAAGATATGAAGGGGCCTGACCATGAAGAGCTTTATAGGTGAGGAGGAGGATTTTAAATTCTATTCTACATTTTACAGGGAGCCAATGTAGAGAAGCTAGTACAGGAGAGATGTGATCTCTTTTTCTAGTTCCTGTCAGTACTCGCGCTGCAGCGTTCTGAATTAATTGGAGCGTTTTAATGGACTTATTGGGGCAACCTGATAATAAAGAGTTGCAGTAATCCAGCCTTGAAGTAACAAATGCATGGATTAGTTTTTCTGCATCTGTCTGTGATAGTATGTTTCTAATTTTTCTAATATTACGTAAATGAAAGAAGGCAGTCCTAGAGGTCTGCTTTATGTGGGAGTTAAATGACAAATCCTGATCAAAGATAACTCCAAACTACACACTACACACAAACTACTTTCCCCAAACAACATTCAGCAGGTTGGCAACCTATCCCCCCATTCAGGACACAGGACACTCCAGTCACACCTCCAGGTCATCAGGCTTTAAAGGGGAACTTGGCAACTCTAGCCATTTCTTCGCTGGTTTTCACTTTTGTCATTGCATGTTTTCTCAACGAGCTCCCCCTACAGCTCTGGGACGTATATTTCAAAACACTGTCATAAAAAAAACTCACTTGCGGCACCCTCCTCCCCCTTTCTACCGCTGCTGATGTGCATTTGTTGCCGGGCAACTTTTTCGTGTGGAGCAATGTCTACCAAGGTGGGTAATACATTCATTGTCGCTTGTTCTTATAGCCGGCATGGCTAACCGGTATTGAGAGGGGCGTGTGCATTTATGTGGAACTGCCGTAAAGCGGTTCGTGTTTCTCACTCGTTCTCGCTTCTCACAATACTTCCTATTTCCAACTTAACGGGACGGTAGTCCCAAAGTTGCAAGCTTGGTTTTCCACCTGGGGACACTAGGGGGAGCGGGGAAAGTCACCATTAACACCAGAACAGGCCATTTAACCATCCAAATGATTTCTAAACGGGTTTATTAAGTTGAAATAGTTGCCAAATTCCCCTTTAACATGAGTTCCGCTCTAAACACAGCTGTATTTCTAAGGTGCCGATTTGAATCCCTCAGGAGGGTCTGTTCTCTGCTCAACACATTGCTGACCATGAGAAAGGGGAAAAGGCATTTGTTTGTATCGCACTTCATTGATTGGTCTAGCGCATCACAATTGTGAAACATGTCATATCATAATTACATATAATTACCACAGGTCGTTCAGCTCTGTTTACCATACCTAAAAAAAACCGTAATATATAATAATTTATTTCTCCTTTCCTCTAAACTTCCCAATTGTAATTCCCTTGTTCCCCATTGGGTGATTTCATTCAAATGTACCTGCATTTAGGTACCACCTGTAAGTATTTATGTACTGATTCATCTTACAAAACTACAATGCAGCTCCTGTCAAAGTAATACCAATATTCTCAAGAGTACTGTAAAATGAACTACAGTAGTGCTACTGTCCATAGGTCTTATTGTATTTATTACAGAAAATTCCACTGTAAACACACCAGAAAATAAATTTGAACCTGAAGCTGAACAGTTTTCCTGCCCTTATCTCAAGCCTTTAAACATCAATATATTTACCATCAAAATGTACTGAAACAATATTGTATAATATATGGTGTACTTAATAATAGTCTAACTTTAAAAACTTTAACTATTTATACATACATATATAATATCTATCTATTTATTTGATGGCGCTAAAGGTCCAGTCTGTAGGATGTGGTTACATCTAGTGTTGCATGCAGTTTGCCAGTCCCTCACTTCACCCTCCCCTTTCAAACGCGAAGGAGAAGCGAAAACCACAAAAGCCCTTATCTGGAGCCACTGTTTGGTTTGTCCCTTCTGGGCTACTGTAGAAACTCTACCGCATGATTTCAGAAAGTTTCTGCTTAAGGGCATTAAGGGTGTTGCACTAGGTTGTACACACAAAAAATACCTACCTGACACTACCTGAAGTAGGCATGATTGTGGGAGTGCTTGATTGGAAAAGTTACAAAAATCATCAGCCAAGGGAGGACTTTTCAGACGTTGTTAACGTCAACAGCCTCTTTATATTTCCACTCATATTTCCCCTAGAGTTCCAGGAGCCCTTGCTTTGTACAGCAAACAATCACCTCTACCAGAAGTATCCAGGTATACTAATTCTGATGTAATTAACGGATCAAGAATACTCAGCAGCCTTGGTATGCTGTGTAATGGTTAGGGTCTGTGAATTGGTATTTACAAGGACCTTTAAAAATAAATACAATTAATGCTTTTTAAAGGTCCGGAGTGGAACATTTAACAGGATCTAATATTCATAGGTTTATTTTCATTAGTGTATAATCACCTTAAAATAAGAATTTGTGTTTTCTTTATCTCTTGAACTGCCATGTTTCTACAGTAGTTCAGAATAGACAAGTCATACACTGGCCCTTCTCTCTTGTTTTTCGTGAGTTTCACCATAGTACACCATTCTCCTACACACTTGGAAGGGAAAGCTGTATTAGGTTGGTTGCAATCTGCAACTTTACCACTAGATGCCATTAAATCCTACACACTGGTCCCTTATATTTACTACAGCATCTACTACAGCAAGAAAAAAATATTAATCAAATTTAAAGATACATTTTGGGGAATCTTGTAGCTTCGTGATTCTCGTACTTAAATGTTTTGGGATCTGGGGGCTGGACTGTGGGGCAGAGATTGTCTCTTTGTGTACGCGGGGAGTAATACTGGCTTCGAAAAAGGTAGGCTTGCTGCTGGCATAGCCCCATTCGGCTCAGCAACATCAGGATGTCTCGGTGAAAGGCCTTAGTCAGGATAGCATAAAAAAACGGGTGTGCACAGGAGTTGAGAGGATAGAAAAGCACCAGTAGTACCTGTGAAAAAAAACACAAGTCAGCCTTTATTTTAAACTGAAAAACAATCTGGATTAAAGTTCAAGAGGAAGTCACACCTTGGAATCTGTGACAGTCATCAATGGTTGGTGGAGAGCTGCAGACAAGCCATAGAAGCAAATGGGAGCCAGACACAGAAAGTTAGTGAAAATTAGAACAGCCATGCGTTTGGCCATGCTGGTATCACATCTGCTGGACTGGTGATTGGCATTGTGCACCATACTATAGATGTGGAAATAACATAAACACACCACAATAAAAGCAATGACATTAGCCATGAGGACAAAGACCACATAGCCCTGAGCAGCCGTTGTCTCAGTGTCCATAGGTAAGCAGATGCTCACTTTCTGGTAACTGCTCACACCGACCACTGGTAACAGTGCTAGGATCACACACAACAACCAGCCGACAAGCATCATCACAGCTGCATGGCGTAACCTAATTTTTCTGTCTGGCCTCATTGCGTAGAAGATGGCACGCCAGCGCTGAAGGCTGATTAAAGTTAATGTGTACACAGACAGCTCGCTGGCAAACACTGACAATGTCCCTGCTAAATTGCAGCCACTTCCTGTTTGCCAGGCTATTGCATAGTGGTAATAATGGGAGCGTGTGTAGAGGTCAACAGATGCAATGAGCAGTAAGTAAATCCCCATACAAAAGTCCGCAAACGCCAGGTGACCCATGAGAAAACGGGTAACAGACAACTTCTGCCGGCTCGTCAACAGGATGAACATCACCAGGAGGTTGGCTGAAATGGCTAACAGACTGACCAACCAGACCAACACCCTCAGGAAGCCTTGACTCATCACATCCTCACAGGGGTTCAGGGCATCAGGTAAGGGGGTGCACAAAAGTCCATCTGTATGAAGTTCATTACACAGTGCAAAGTCAAAACCTTCACTGAGGTGCTCTGTATGTAACTCCACATGAAACAAACCCTCATTTTGAGACAGCTGAGTTGGGCTGTGATCATTGTGATTTGTGCTGCCAGCCACCAAGACGCCAAAGTTGTCTTTTAGATGTTGGTAGATTTTGTGTCCCAGATACTTCTGAGAGAGTGCTACAGAGGATTCCTGCAGCTTTCCCAAAGCAGTCGGGGTCAGGTTGCAAACAACAGCCTCAGAGTGTCTTGAAAACAGACAATAAGGGTTATTAATCAGAGAATGAACTACAACATTTATTTAGATGCACACCATATAAAGTCTTATGGTGCATGGATCAAAAACACACATTGTCAATCACTTGTAATCACTTGTTACATTCAGACTGCAAGCCGTAACGCTTGATTCATATTTTTTGCTCAGATTTGATTTTTTTTGTTTGGCTGTTCACATTATTTTTTAAACGTGGCCCATATCAGATTCCAGTGTGAACATTTCATAGTCCCAAAGTGACCTGCATGACGACTGTCAGTCTAGAATTACATAAAAGTTTAATTCATTCTCATATGAATCCTCACACTGAGGTCACACTGCAGAAAATCTGACCTGAATCTGATTTGGACCACATATGAAATCAAAATTAAAAAGATCAGATTCCATGTGGATTTTGCTGTTAACACTGTGATGAAAAAATCTGATCTGAGTCACATATGAGCAAAAAGAATTGGGCCCACTTGGGCCTGCAGTTAATTTGCAAATATCAAGAGATAAACCATATAGGTAAACATAATCCAACAGAATAATTCAGGGAGGACTATGTACAAAAATAGAATTTAATTGTCAAAGGATGAACCAAATGAATAGAGAATAATGTTATGTTGAAAAGTAGCAGAATTTAATATAAGTGAACAATTATTTTTTAGCATACATTGAAAAACAGTGAAAACAGGCCGACATTACCTAAAAATCTTATTGTAGAAAAAATAATAACCTCAGCTCATAATAATCACAATATTTAAAGATCAGCAAGCACAAAAGTATCTGAAATGCATGAGCTCACTGACCTTCATTTGTACGGTCCCCTGGAAACGCTGCTGGCACCCTCTCTAGGCTATGTTTATATATAAGTCTATGGTTTCACAGTAACATGTTTAAATATAAAGTCATTACAATGCTGAAATAACTTATTCTGTTTTCAATGAATTGAAACCACTCTAGACTGGCCCAGCTTTTGTGAGTACCCAAATGCATACACTATTTGGTGTGCCTGAGGGTAGTTTGGTATGTAAAGGACAAATACATGACAAAGAAAGGAACAGTGGGAAAATATTTCTCAACACTTTCAATTCTCTTACTTACCCTCTCCATCTTTTCATCATTTTGAGACCACAGCAATGGCTTGGGAAGGTCAATTCAGCGCTCTGTAAATGGAGAAAGGCTCTAAAGGGGGGCAGCTCTTTGAGGGCCCAAGTGTTTTTAGCTTGGAGCTTTTCAATGGTCTCAATACCAATTGAAGGCAAAGAGCTAACTTTGGTTTCTGAAAGGTCTCTGGAAAGACAGACAAAGAGATACAAAGCTGAGGCTGGTCCTGTATGCCTCAACCTTAACATGTGACTCAGTTGCAGAATAAAGATATTATTTGATGTAAGAATATTATTTGATATAAGAAACAACAAAGTAAAGTTATTTTCTCAAGAATAACACTAATTCCTCTTTTAGCAAAGTCTGTACATTTCAGTTACTCACAAATGAGTTGGGCCACGAATCACGCCATGAAATGCAAATTCATCTATTCGCTCCAAATCCACATTCCTGTGAAGATACCTGAAGAATGGAAAATATATGAGGGGTCAGTGTGGCCAAAATTGATCTGTTTTTTATTTTTTTATTTCTGATAATCCTCCTCTACTAACATATATAAAATTCTATTTAACTTGACTACTTTATAAAAACATTTTGAGTAACAAAATGGTAATTCAATCTGCCAGCCAGCCAGGTTGTTAAAGGGACCACATAAAAACACAGGAGTCGTACGTAATATTTGTGAGTTCCATCATGTGTGCTATCACTTTAACACTCTTTTTAGTTTGACTACAGTGATTTGAAATGGCATACACTTCCTCCAGGCTGCTCCCATTGAAGGCATAATGCTCGATCTCTTTCACGCCATTGTTATGCAGCATGCTAAAAAAAAAAAAAAAAAAAGGGGGGGGTGAATGCTACAAGAAGTTAAAATAAATGAACACATTTAAAAACATTAATTATTACATTATAATGGCTCACCAGACTGAACCACATGAGGACTATCTAAGCAAGAGCCTTGGCCATACTTCTAACACATTAAAACAAGATCTACGAGAGCTCCTGCAGCCAATGTTGCAATACTATCCAGTTGTAGTGACTAGAGCACATGAACAAGAACAGGATCCACACACAATCCTCCCTAACCACCTCCCTCCTTGTGACTCCATACGTTATAGAGTTTGAAAAATACATGCTACCACAATCCAATTATGAAAACAATTAAGTTATATACAAACATAATTTCTAGGAGAAAGGGTTGCTTTAGCAGCACTTGTACAGGCTTGATAACAGCTACGTACTTTTCTGTCTTTCTTTTTTGGTTGTTTTTGCATATTCAAACTTTGAATAATTTTTAAATCTTTATTATTTCCTAATTTATTATTGCCAACTGGTCTGACAGTGCCTTGACTAAAAGTCTGTGCTGTTACCCTCCTGTCTGACATGGCTAATGCAAAAAAGGAAAAAAAGAAAAGTAAAAAGTAAATGAGACCTAGATTTCACAATATTATGCCTTGAAATTGTCACATCTTAATGTTGGTTTCAAAATATTAAAAAGTAATATAAATTGCAATCAGAATACTAGAGGAGCATATCATATTTATATAAAATTGTAAGAGAAATTGAACGAATACCTAAAACCACCATAGAATTGGAATTTCAGTGCCTTTGAGTCAGTGACATTAAGCCTGAAAATGACATTTGAGCCATTGTTCAACTAAATCTTACTTACATGGTCAGAGCATTCTCAGATATGCCAATGAAAGAATTAGCAGGTATAACTTGTATGAAGACATTCTCCACTATCTCCCTGTCAAAAAGGCGTGAACATGAAATATTTGACAGCAGTTAAAAATTCATACATTTTAGCAAACAAAGTTCATTGCAATTACGTATGTTTAAATGTTACATACAAAATAAAATCCTCTTGGCTGGACTGAATGTACTGGAGCCCAGGGAAGGAGGTTAGACCTGTGTTGGTGATCCCACTGTATTGAAACAAATTTCAGTCAGTGACTAGTTAATGCATTGCAGAAGAAATGTCAGGTACTATTTAAAGAACTTTAATACTGTTTTCTTGTGAAAATATGATATACTATGACACAATAAAACTATGTATAAGCAAATTAAAATTTGACTTACAGGTACTTTAAATTAGGCAGATCCTTAAATGCCTCTTGGTCAATGAATGACAGTGTTTTCATACCAGTTAGTTGTCTATTGGACACACCAGATACAGACACCACACACACACACACACACACACACACACACACACACACACACACACACACACACACACATACTACTTAATTCATCAGAAAAATATTCAAAATTGCTTAGTACAGTGTAGCTTTGCCTCTACATATAATGTTCTGACCAGTTATTTACTGTAAAATGTCCAACTACTTGTACATCTGTTGCAGTCTGTCTGCAGTATAGATAGATAAAATGACTTATTAGTGTCATAGGCATTATTTAGTCCCTCCAGGATTTTGCAGGCTTTTTTTGGGATTATTGCAGCCTAAACTTCCTGATTTCATAAAAAAAAATTGGTAAATGGTAATGGATGGTAAATGGACCTGCAATGGAGTCTTTCTAGTCTTCCGACCACTCAATGCGCTTTTACACTACGTGCCACATTAACCCTTTCACACACATTCACTCAGCGATGGCAAAGTCCATTGAACAGAAACTAACGCATTCATACACACTCACACACCGATGCACAGAATCGGGAGCAATTCAGGGTTTAGTGTCTTGCTCAAGGATACTTCGACATGTGGTGGCAGGAGCTGGGGATCCAACCATCAACCTTCCGATTAAAGGACCACCCGCTCTTCCTCTGAGCCACAGCCACCCATTGCAATGCAAATTGCTCGTTGTGATGTTTTATATATTTTTTGCAATTAAATTGTAGGAGAAAGAAAAAAACAGAAACAGTTTGTATAATTTGTTAAAAAATTGAAGGCAACTTGTTCCACTGAAAAGTTAGTGTTAGATGTCTGCATTGCACAAATGGTTTGCATCTTCAACACTAGTAGCAGCACTAGCAGGAAACTACTATGATTGGTCAGATTTGTAAAAAAAAAAAAAGAAAAGGGGGGTTTTGGAAAAAACTGCAGGGTTGTGCAGAATTCTCGGGACTTCCTGGAGGGACTGATTAATGCAAGTGTAGCACTACTACTACTACTGCAGTGCAGATGCAGCATGACTTCTACAAAGACTACACTATGTGTATTCATGGTGGCATAGATGCTTCATTTTAATCACAAACAAGTTGCTCTGCCCAAAGGTTGCATACATGTGGGTGACCCTGGACAGGTTGTGGAAAGAATGCCTCTCAAGAGATCTTAAAGTATCATCATCAGAGATGTATCTGAAAAAACACACAAACAAATGAAAACAACACCAACAACAATCTAGAGACTAATAATATATTTCAATTTTGAAGTTGAAATAGTTGTGCAGTTTTGCAGCTGAATGTGACTTTTTCTGACATTTGTACAAGTGAGGATTGTAAGTAAGAGAGGTTTAGGATTATAATGATGGTTAATTAATGGCCATTCATGCTCCATGCAAATATCACCAACAGTTCTAGCTGCAGCTTTATTTTGATGATCTGCAGTTCTCTCTCTTACATTGTCTGTGTCAATGTATCCAGAGGGGAGACCTGGGGTGGCCACCCCTAAAAATTTGATTGGCCACCCCATATGCCACCCCATTATCGTTAACTCTTCCACTGTAGAGGGAGAGAGAAAATACTAGTTTCATATGAAGCTAGATAACCAACAATGTTATACTAGCGTGTCGGGAAGGGGGCCAAATAATGCTCCAAAGTTTTGGAGACAAAGTCCAAAAATTTCGGTGATGGAAAAACTGTCATGGCTGTTGTCAAAGTTATCCCTTGACCTCTGACCACAAGATATTTTAATTTCACCTTGTGTATTTAAATATTTCTGCAGACTGTTACTGTCAGTATTGTTATTTCATAAATTAAGAATGACTGAAAAGCTGAGGGCACGAGTCAGTGGTCAGTGGCATCATATTCAGGATATTTGCTGGAAAATGAGTAACCATCTATTAACCATTACACAAATTTTCATAATCAGGCATGATTAAAAAGTCCTAAATGCAGGGGAAAACTGATCTTCATATTACGATACTGGGCTTGACACAAGTTATAATATAATAATATAAATTATCATGATCCACTGTTTTATCCTGAAGCATACAAAAATGCAAGAGGTAGCAGGGCCATTACAAAGTTTAAAGAGGCTGGAGGTATTCTGCCTTTGATCAGTAGTTGCAAGTAATAGTAATTTTGAATAATTTCTTTGCTAGTTTTTACTAGTTTTAATATTGTTCTTGGTAAGCGACATTCTCTGGTTTTGCCAGTTATGATTATTTGAAATTAAAAGGTTTGTGTTGGGAAAAAGAAAAAGAGAATCTTACATGTGAGAAACGTTGGCCAAGTTGGCAAATGCATTCTGAGGAACCGAAGAAAGTTTTGTCCCAACAAGCCACCTAAAACAGAAATACAGTTGGGACTATTGAAGAGTTACAAGCTGAAATCAGAGCTGAAAAAATGTGGCTACTTACACCTCCTGTGTGCTGGAATGGAAAACAGGCATGAGCTCAACTCCAAAGCATGACACGCTTTGGATGTCCCAGTCACACTGGCAGTGAATTGGACAATATTCCAGGTGGAGAGTGACTTCGACAGTACTGAAAATTAGAAAAAGGAGATTTAAATCAGTCTTCATTGTAAGAGTGGTGATTAAGTGGTGGAGACTCCCAGGTTACGCAGCACAGTGAAAGAAAGAGATGGGGCGGTCCTGGATTTCAGAGGTCTAGCAAGACTAGAAACTGGCACTTCTGGTTTAGACCTTCAAAATAAAAACCTAACTGGTTCATGTGTCGCCTTGTCTGATACAAATTATGTCAGCAGAAATGAAAACTCACGTGAAAATTGTGACATATGGATATTTCATATAATATTCAATGCATAACAGTAGAGAACAACTGATAAACTGTAGAATGAATCCAAACAGTGTACACTATAACTGCAGGAAATTCATGTTAAACAAGAGATTTTGATGAATTTTGAAAATAAATATATGGTTCTTTTGGTCAAATTCAGCGTTTTTGTTTTAACTTTTCTAATGCAGAACGAGACCGTTTAGCAGATGGAGAAAGCTCTGTGAATATAGCTTGTGTTCAGGTCTTCACCGTGCCCTTATCCTGTTTATATCTTAAATAATAACCCAAATTTAAAAATATAATAATTTAATTTATTATCAGCATTTTTTATAAAGCCAACTGCTTTCTCACACTCCTTAAAATCAAGAAACGCCTTGTGGCATTGACCTGACATGACCTGGGTTCTACATCTATAATATGCTATCTATGCATGCTGGCATGACTCTCTTGATATCTGATTATCATAACATAACTAAGAGTAAACAATCTTTTGTTTTCTCGTGATAACGGGTTGATTATCTTTGGATAACAAAGCTTGTTTTTTTCAAGATAACAAAAAAATGCTAGCACAACTGTTCTTGACTTCTGTACATCTAGATTACATTGCACATACGTTTTGAGAGTACCAATTTTCTATACAGGTACAGGACCATTTACCATTTCTTTCAAATGTATTATTTAGATATACAATATCATTGTTTCTGATGCAAAAATAAGAATAGGTTTAAACCTTATATATTTTTTATGTAATTCTCTTTTACTCATTTGAAAGCTGGATTAACTTTTAGAAAAATAATTTTTATTCATTTTCAAATATTTGCTCAAACTAACCACATCCTTGCATTTGCAAGAATGTACTGGGCTTTTGAATGAAAACAACCAATCAGAGCCGTGAAAGAGAGAAAGACTCTTTGGGTTGGTGGCGGTAGATTCCATTAAGAGCACTAGGAGGAGCCTGAGGAACCTGATCTGATAAAATGCAACACGTAAGAAATTGTCTTTATCATAACAGCTGCACAAGATTAGTTTTAATTGAATTCTTCAGTGGTAAGGCAGAAGAGCTGAAAGAATGTTTCTAACCAGAAATATTTTGACACTGTGAAGCACAAAATTCAGAACTCATTGAATATTTAATAAGAAACAACAGTGCGAATGGTGTATTTTAAGACAATCCTAAACCTAAAAGCAATGCATTGTGTGTTATGTTAAGCATACAAGGGACAAAATATGCAAGTAGTTATTTTCTATTTAATACTAATAACCATGTGGAAGAGATGGCTATAAATATTTAACATAATTTTTTGCTTGTTAAAATTTAAATGTATATATTATACAGTATTAAACCTTGTAATTATCAAGAATTACCAAATAAATAAAATTAATTTTAAAATACAGAATATGGCAACCATTAAAACACTAATTGTGGGCCAGCACATCACTGAGTGCATTTACATATGCATTAGTATCGCAGTCTTGAATCTTATTTTGATATTTATCTTGTTCAGGATATGACATTTGTATGGAACATGAGAAACCTGGTTATTTATATTCCTGTACACATGATTCTAACAGGTTTTTGATCCTCTGTGTGTGACATAATGTCTCACCATCTCAGCCACTATGGTCTGTACCAACAGAGAATGTTCAGAAACATGGATCAGGTGTTAACGCGCCACAGTACACTGGTTTATTTCGGAGTACTCCAGGAAGCACAGCCAGGTTTCTCAAAACAAGGATATTGTGTTTAAATGTGTAAAAAAACATAACCTTATCATAACCAGGATACTTGTGCCAATGTAAACGCACTACATCATTATACTTACTCATATGCTAGGCTGTCCACTTATTCTACATACATACATTTTTAGAAACTATGGTTTATTACAGAGCCAAAGAGTGGTTATTTTGACCTACCTTTCGTAAATCTGTTGATTCTAGAGCAGGGGTCAGGAACCTTTATTATCAGAGCCACTTTTGACTACTTGAGCCTTATAATGCTAATTTCACATCACAGATGAAGCATACAAGTAAGCCAGCAGCATTGGTGCTGAAAGCAAACAAATCTCTATTTTCCTCTAGAATTTTCTATTACTTTTTTTATTTGGGATCCATTATGGAGACTCAAGACTACTAGCCACGGCTAGAGACCATTTTCACAGCAGCCATTTTGACATGTAATAGTCGGGTAAACACAGGTGTTACAAATGATACTAATTAAGGTTCCATTCTATTTAGTTAGTTGGTTCCTTTCTGGTGAGCCAACCTCTGTTTACCCAACCATTTCATGTCACAATGACTGCTGTGAAAAAGGTCTCTTGAGGTTGTATATAGAGGAAAAGGCGCCAGGACGTGACGTATGACACATGTTGAGAAAATGGTAAAACGTTGTTGTTGTTTTTATTAATAGTGTAAGTGTAACGGCTACACATTTTTACAATGGAGAATGTAAAAATCACTTTAGGTCTACAACAATGAAAAGTTTTTGTTAAAGCCACAGGGAGACACTAGAGATGGGCTAAAGAGCCACAGGTTGCCTACCCCTGTTCAAGAGTCAAGAAGTAGTGACAGACTTTCGCAGATTTTCATAAACTTTGTTCATGTTAGTAGACATGAACAAGACATTTTTTTTAATTGCACACAAAGTGAAGCTACACAAGCTGGGGAGTTGAAAAAAAAAGCGAAATTGTAACATGTAGAATTTGAAAATAAGAGATATGACTGAACAAATTAAAGCAGTTAACCATCATGTATATATTTAGCAATTTCTTTAATCCCCAAAATACATTACTAAGGAACATATGTCTTGGATGTCTTCACAAAGGATAAAGTTAGGCAGTCCATTTTCATTCTATACATACTTTGTAGATATTCCAGCATTTAAAGATGCAATCAGTAATATCATACTAGTAATGGAAGGCATAAGTAATTGCTGGTCTTCGTGCTAGTAGTTATGTTTTTGGCGGCACCACCTTAAATGAGTCAGTTGCACTCAAAGTAAGAAATTAAACCTTATTTTCAACAAGATATTATTATGGGAAATGTAGGATTCAGTATTATATTTAGGTGTAAGCTATTTTAATTTTGACCATTATTTTTGTTCTGTTTTTCATCTGTCTCTTGTGAATCCCTAACTTATATAAAATACCCAATATAATTTATTTAAAAATCAAATCTAAAAATCTACCGCAATGTTAAGCATATTAGTTTTAATTAATAATTAGTAATAATTAGCAACACTAAAGAGCCAGACTTTACTGATTGCACCTTTATCTAACAGTTCTAGTATTCACCACCAGATTAGATGTTGACCAATAAAAACATTGATTGATTTCTAACATCTCACCTCTCATCAATTTCATGTAATAAGCTGATTAATCAGTTATTCATTAACATCAGTCCAGGTGTTCAGTAGTGTCTAATGTATTTCAGAAAAAAATCTCAATGAGACAGCCCATAATCATTACAAGGGACATCAGATAACCGATGAGGTCAAATGGCTGAAGAGGAAACCACAGAAATTGCTCATTATTCCATCACAGCATTTAAGGATGTAGCATGCACCTTGAACGCCTAAATTTCATAAATCAAACTGTTGTGTCAGTGGGCACTTCCAAAGACGTTAAAAGCAGCAAGTTTTTTTTAATCGTTAACTGGAAGATTAAGATGGTGAATATATGGCCCAGTATGCAATGTTGCAGTCCTCTTAAAGCATATCAAACAGAAAGGCACCATTGATATTTTTTCTGCATTGAAATATACTGTGAACCATTGCTACATACTAGTGTATGGCACTTTACCTACAAGACATGAACACATTTGTACACTTTTTATAAAACTCTTTATTAACTACATCACTAAAATAAAAGTTTCATTTTTCATTTACACAGCAAATCATTTATAGAAAATAAAGGTTTAATAGTGACTATTCTTTTTTACCTAAACATAAAGGATTCTCAGCAATTTCTTTTTACTTTACACAGCGACTGGATCCTGTTTGGTGGTATAACTGGATAAATTGACTTGCAGGTCATCATTTGGTGATGCTGGGTTAGTCCTGCTGCTGTACATAGCCCTGAGCAACAGGGCTGTAGTGCTATGTGTAGTAAGGAAGGGTGTGTGTTCCCCCTGAGGCTGCTCTGTTTTGCTCACTAACATGCTGTCACCACTGCACTCCACATTATGTGGCAAATGGCCATTTGCAACTCCTGCTCCTTTGGTGGCACAGTCGTTGATCTTATTGTTTGTATTAAGTAGCTTCTCAGGTGATGCTAAGAACAGCTGGCTGGCAGCTGTGGTGCCATGGTCACCTATGATTTGGTAGTTACCATTCTCCATAGAAAACAATGGGCTAGGTGGTAAGCTATGTGCCGCATGGCCACGGTTGTAGTGGGCAGAGGTCCTCTTCTTTTCATCTCGGCTCTTGTGTGGCTGACGTGTGTTTGACAACAACAGGGGGCACTCCTCCTCACCAGAAGGACTTAAAGCCACTGAGGGGACAGAGATGGCCAGGCTAGACAGGTGGGCTGACATCTCTGATGGAGGAGACCCTGGAGTTGCAAGAAAGGTCTGGGACAGCGGAGACAGCCGAATCAGGGTTGTCATCTCAGATACAAACCTATAACAGACACAATGTTTGAAAGATGTTCATGTGGAACATTAGAAATAAAACGTACACAACATTATGTGAGTGCGAGTTATTGGACATAATCCTGAGTCAAATACTCAACAAACTACAGGTTCAAATATATATACAGTGGGTACGGAAAGTATTCAGACCCCTTTACATTTTTCACTCTTTGTTTCAATGCAGCCTTTTGCTAAAATCAAAAAAGTTCATTTTATTTCTCATTAATGAACACTCAGCACCCCATCTTGACAGAAAAAAACAGAAATGTAGAAATTTTTGCAAATTTATTAAAAAAGAAAACCTGAAATATCACATGGTCATAAGTATTCAGACCCTTTGCTGTGACACTCATATTTAACTCACATGCTGTCCATTTCTTCTGATCCTCCTTGAGATGGTTCTGCTCCTTCATTGGAGTCTAGCTGTGTTTAATTAAACTGATTGGACTTGATTAGGAAAGGCACACACCTGTCTATATAAGACCTTACAGCTCACAGTGCATGTCAGAGCAAATGAGAATTTTAAAGGGGTCTGAATACTTTCCGTACCCACTGTATATATAGAATTGCCAAAATGAAAAAGCCCTGCATTGTCCATTGTAGGGCTGGGGACAAATGCAATTCAATTCAATTCAATTTTATTTGTATAGCGCCAATTCATAACAGAAGTTATCTCTGGACACTTTTCAAATAGAGCAGGTCTAGACTGAACTCTGTTTAACATGCAACAGTGCATGGATCCATTTTCTAACCCACTTACAATGTTCAAGGTCAGTGGGCTTGGAAACTATGATACGTTGGGTGAGACACAAAGCACAACCTGAGAAAAATTTTAATTTGTTTTATCACATGGCTAAGACACTTCAACTTCACTTCAACAATTTCCAGACCAGAGTTTTAGAATTTGTTTTCAGCAACACTGCACATTACACAGTCATAATATAATAAATAACACAGTGTTACTAGTTTTTTCATTCAAAAGTTAGGAGGAATGGAGGAGAGGAATTTCATAAGGAAAAAAAGGGGGGAAAATTCTTGAAATAGGGTGTTAGGGTGGTAGACAAGGGACAGACAATCCAAAGTTTTCATTTCACCAAAAGCTTAAAGGGTACCTATTCATAGATGATTTGATCTTCAAGCACTGTGAATTTCAGGTGGATTATGTGAACTGCAAATATTCTAATTCCTCACTTGGAAAACAGTGATGGACCATGGTTCTGGTGTACTCCGGCAACTGAACAAAATAGAATAGATCTCAGATGTTCTCAGATTTTATCCATCCATTCAAATGCTTCATAATGATTTTATGCTTCAGAAAGCATTGTTTATCCCATCACTAGCAGACTGAGGTACACTCAGCTATGTGTGAAGGACACCCAGAGGGACAGACTGTGCCTCTTACCTGTTGTGCCATTTTATTCTGTGGGCTGTACATTACTTGTGTGGAACCTTATGGGCAGACCTATTTCAGCTTGGGTGACCTGAATGTTATTAAAAGACAATATAGTAGCTGTGTATTGATAGAACTGGGTGTGTTCTAAGCCTTCAATGGGAGATATTAAAGTGGCAGATCACCACGATTTATTCAATTTTATTTGTCATCTCTAAAATTGGCTTCACTCTCAGTCAGAACCCATCTTTTTCTTTCTTTTCACATCTTTAATAAAATTAAAGCATTGTATTATAGAAGGGTTGGCTTTATAAGTATGGAGGATTAAAAGTGCCAAAATTAAATAAATAAATACACCATTAAATAATTACTTAAATGTGTCATTAATTTATTAAAATTGGAATTAAATACATAAATGTGTTATTAAATGTGTCATTAATTCATTAAAATACGGATTCATTTTATGTAAAAAAATATATAATTAAAGCTGCAAGCAGCATTGAACGGGACCTTGCAGCCGGCGTGTGTCGGGGTGTGCTGCGGCTGCGTCACGTGCTGTCGGGGGGTGTGCTGCGGCCGTGTCACATGCTGTCGGGGTGTGCTGCGGCCGCATTACGTGCGGCGTAACACGTCCGGCCCACAACATGAACATTTCACTTAAATCAGATCAAAATCGCCATGCAGCGCTTACTTCCTGTTGCCACTAGGTGGCGCTCTCATTATATCTGAATATTGTCATGAAGACGTGTTCAGGGCGGGACTCTTATCAAATATATGAAGTTTCATTGAGATCAGATAATGTACACTGAAGTTGTGAGGATGTGTTCAAGGTGGGACTATTACAGCTGGGCAGCTATGGCTCAGAGGCAGAGCGGGTCGTTCCTTGATCAGAAGGTTGTGGGTTCGATCCCCGGCCAGGATCCTGGTGCTACATGTCAAAGCATCCTTGAGCAAGATACTCCTGATGCCGTGCATCGGTGTGTGAATGTGTATGAAAGGGTGAATGTGGCACGTAGTGTAAAAGCGCTTTGAGTGGTCTGAGGACTAGAAAGGCGCTACAGGTCAGGTACAGGTCCATTTACCATTTACAGAATATGTGATGTTTACGTAATGGGCACACTGTTCGACGGAATGTCGTAAAGCACAACTTTTAATCATGAATGTCTTTAGATTGAGCTGATTAAATTTGAAGTTGATCCGATAAATTCCCTGGGAGGAGGAAGTCCTCCCAGGGAAGTCCTAAGGGACTGCTGAAAGAATTTCAGCTGGATCTGGTCAATCTGCTGGGAGATATATATAAAAGAAAAAAAATAAATTTTCTTTCACCACTAGTTGGCGCTCTCACTATTACTGAATATTATCACATAGGCATGTTCAAGGCGGGATTCTTATCAGACAAGTGAAGTTTGGAGCCTATTGGACAATGTACACTCAAGTTATAGTGAATTTGTGTTTTGTGGCGGTCAAAATTTCCAGCCACGCCACAGACACGGCCCCTCACCACATTGATCACATATCACCAACAAAGTGTTTTGCATTATATAAGTAAATTTCAGCTGGATCGGATCATCTTACTAGGAGTAGAAGTATAAAACGTGATACTTCCTGTTGCCACTAGGTGGCGCGCTCACTATTACTGAATATTATCACGTAGACGTGTTCAGGGCGGGACTCTTTTCAAACATATGAAGTTTCGTTGCAGTCAGATCATGTTAGCAGAAGTTATGACAAATCCCTCTTTTTATGGCGAAGGATCGAAATTGCATGCCGCGGGACGCCACGCCATGTCCATGGTGTTCTACGGAATAACGTAAATTGCACAACTTTTAATCGTGAATGTGTTTAGATGGCTGTGTCCAAGTGTGGAGTCGATTCGATAAATTCCCGAGGAGAAGTTCGTTCAAATACAATGTGTGCAAATTGCCAGAAATGACCGCTAAATCCAAAATGGCCGACTTCTTGTTGGGTTTGAGGTATGGGTCCAAGAGGCTTTTCTGCGTCTTTTATCACGATACACATGCGTACCGATTTTCCAACGTGTCGACCTTAAGCGTCTTGAGGGCTGATTCGGGGGGGCGGGGCTTAGCCATTTGGCGGCGCCCGTGTACAGGAACAATTGCATACCGGTATTTTCGCTACGTTTGAATTTTTTCCCTGACTTATATCTGAATATTGTCATGTAGATGTGTTCAGGTTATGGGCTTTCTGGGGGGCGTGGCTAAAACATTTTGCTTATTGTTAAGATTCACAAGATGTCATCGTCATCATCCTAAGGGAGTTCTGACAGGATTTTAGCTGGATCTGGTCAATCTCCTGGAAGATATACAGTAAAGTATAAAAATGACACTTCCTTTCACCCCTAGGTGGGTGGCGCTATCACTATTACTGTGGGACTGTTACAGAATATGTGAAGTTTAGTGGAGATCAGACATTGTACACAGTTAAGATATGAGTTATGAGTACTATCTACTTCATGGCGAATCGTCAAAATTCAATGCAACACCACAGGCACGCTGTTCAAGGTACAGTCACAAATAGCACAACTTTTAATCAGCAACATTTTTTCAAGGTACAGTCACAAATAGCACAACTTTTAATCAACAGCATATGTTGACTGTACTGACTAATTTTGAAGTAGATCTGATAAATTCTCTAGGAGGAGTTCGTTCAAATACAAGGCGAAAAATTCACCGAAAATGACCACGGAATTCAAAATGGCTGAATTTGATGCCACACCACGGACACGCCCTTCAACATACATGCACAAATAGCACAACTTTTGATCAGCAACATACTTTGACTGTACAGACCAATTTTGAAGCAGATCCGATAAATTAAAAAAACGTTACACGTGCCTACCGAGTTTCATACATATCAGTGAAACGTGGCGCCCGGGCTGCTTTTTTAAAATCCTGTAGGGGGCGCTACAAACACAACAAACACAACAAACACGCCATGGGCAAGCATCGTACCAAGTTTCATTTTAATCACAAGTGCCGTTGCAAAGATATAAACTTCTTCATTTTAAAGAGCGCCACCAAGTGGCGATGGCCTGAAATTATGCACGATGCCTAAGGAAGACATGGGGAACTATGGACCCAAGCTTGGTGTCAATTGGACATACCAATGTGGAGAAATTTTCCACTTCTTTTTTTGATGAAAAATTTACAGGAAGTACTAATTTTATAATGTGCTTATTTTTTGAAATATCAAAATTCTTTGAATTACTTTTTTATTAGGAGGGTCCCCAGATGCTACATGAAAAATGTTGTGGGAATCAGACAAAGCGTGTAGGAGGAACATGAAAAAGTAGTTTATGGACATTTCACGCTCTAGCAAAGAAAGATTATAGGCAGAAGTGGCTGTGGCCTATATGAGGAGATTCAGCTCCATTCACCGAACGCGTGGATACAAGGTTTTTGAATGTGCGATAAACGATGCAGAAGTTATTAGCCTAAACGCATTTTTTATGATAGTAGCGCCACCTAGTGGGCAACCCGAAAGCGACGCATAGAATATCCCCATTTTCACCAGGCCTGACAACTTTGCCAAATAAATGGTCAAAGGGGGCTAAAAATAATAATAGGTAAGAAGAAGAA